TTTGAGCTCAGGGGTTTGAGACCAGCCTGGCCAACATGGTGAAACCCCGTCTTTACTAAAAATTCAAAAGAAATTAGCCGAGCATGGTGGCGGGCACCTGTAATCTCAGCTAACTGGGAGGCTGATGCAGGAGAATCGCTTGAACCCCGGAGGCGGAGGTTGCAGTGAGTGGAGATTGCATCACGGCACTCCAGCCTGGGCGACTGAGCGAGACTCCATCTCAGAAAAAAAAAGAAGGCAAGCTTCCTCAGATCTCAGGAGTGGGATGCTGAGAGATAAACCAAACAATTTTCTATAAAGGTTTTTCAGATAAAGGCAATAAACTTATTGACTAAGCAGCTGAAGAAAAAGAAAAAAGGAAATGACCAAGCAGAGTCTTGACCACCATGCTGGAAAATCTCATTTCAGTTCAGTGTGTCTTAGGGCATCACAGTCTTAAAGCATTTGTATTCATTCAACAGTCACAGAAGACCTACTGTATGCAAAGTTAGATTACAGATGAATAACTAAATGTATGAAGGTAAACTTTGATTTGAATTCTGCTTTGTGGGAGGTAGCAATGCACCTTCCCTACCAGAAAGTGAACTTGGTCCTTCCCTTCCGGTTATGCTGGGAAAAGATGATTTTCTTCCCACAGGCAATGTAAACCTATGTAAGGGCTGCTTTTCAATCAGCTTGGGCCAATAAGCATGAATGTTTCTTTTTGCTGTGCTTCCTCCCTCTGACTAGCTAAAAATACCTAATGATAAGAGGCAGTAGTGTCAAGATTAAGTACACCCTTTTGACTCAGACCAAATCGGTTTGAATTGAGACTCTAACATTAGCTGTGTTACTTAACCTCTTTGTGACTCAGTTTCCTTGTGTTAGAAAAACACTAATAACTATACCCACTTTACAGGGCTACCGCAAATAAAAAAAGATAATCTACATAAAGTACTTAGCACAGTGCCCAATATAATTACAGTAAGAGCTTAATAAGTCATAGCTCTTCTTATCATTATCATCATCAGCTAATTATTGAAACCCATTAAAAAGCAATACATCCTGTACACAGAACAGGAGTGAAACTATGAAACAGATTTATCAGGCTGGGCGAGGTGACTCACGACTATAATCCTAGCACTTTGGGAGACCAAGGCGGGTGGATCACTTGAGGTCAGGAGTTCGAGATCCACCTGACCAACATGGTGAAACCCTGTCTCTACTAAAAATACAAAAATTAGCCAGTTGTGATGGTGCGTGCCTGTAATTCCAGCTACTCTGGAAGCTGAGGCAGGAGAATTGCTTGAACCTGGGAGGTGGAGGTTGCAGTGAGCCAAGATGCCTGGGGGACAGGGCGAGACTCAATCTCAAAAATAAATAAATAAATAAATATAAATATCATCTAGTCTGTCCACAGTTGGGCATATTCTTATGCGATGCTCATCCCAATAAACAAAACAAAGATCCAGTGTTTTGAGGGAACATTACATTCTCATGGCACCTTATTTGTGAATTAGGGAACGCAGAGGTTCAGGATCTTTACTCCCACATGTGATGGAATAACAGCGGAATGCTGTAGTTCTAGAAGGGAATAGAAGGAGTTTTCTAGCCTGGCTTCTGCTTAAACATGCAAAACTATCACTTAGCATGGAGTCAGATAGATGGAGATTGCACAGCGATATGAGGTGAGACTCTCCTAAGGTCAAGCAGTTACCATTAGGATTAAGCAAGTCTTCTTTACATTGTACCCCCAATTTTTTTTTTTTTTTTGGAGACTGAGTCTCACTCTGTCACCTAGGCTGGAGTGCAGTGGCATGATCTCGGCTCACTGCAACCGCTGCCTCCTGGGTTCAAGCAATTCTCCTGCCTCAGCCTCCTGAGTAGCTGGGACTACAGGCAAGAGCCACCATGCCCAGCTATTTTTTTTTTTTCTTTTTCTTTTTCTTTCTTATTTTGAGACAGAGTCTCGCTCTGTCGCCCATGCTGAAGTGCAGTGGCACAATCTTGACTCACTGCAACCTCTCTGCCTTCTGAGTTCAACTGATTCTCTTGCATCGGCCTCCCGAGTAGCTGAGACTACAGGCACATGCTACCACGCCTGGCTAATTTTCTGTATATATATATATATATATATATATATAT